GTCCTCCGAGACATTTTATACTTTAGAAATGTTTTATCGTGCCTTATTCTTTCTCTACTTTTGACTCGTTTGCACCGAGAGCCAAAGCAATTTCCAGGTCTGTGACTTCTTGTTACTTACACGGTAATAACAATGATTCTGATTCTGATTCCGAGATGACTGCTGTTGTGATGTAGAGCTGTACAAAAAAATGCATTGAATTGATTTGAACTTTCTCATTTCAAACCGAGGAATTGAATTAGAGCAGTATTTCCTTTATGGCTTTGTATTTTGAACAACTGTTGCATAAAGAAAATGAAACCAGTGACCGTCCGACAAGTCAATTTATGTTCCCAAATAATCCCAGCATTGGGTCTTTTTGCAGGGCCGTCATAAATGATGTGGCCTGATTAAACGTGGTCCCCCCTCTCCTCCCCCTTCTCACCCCCCTCCTCCCCCTTGTATTGGGTTGAAGTTGAAAGGGCAGTAAATGAAATGACTTCCACAGGATTGCCCCACAAAGAGCGGAGTGTGTCAAATGTTCATTCAGCCAGAGATGGAGACAAACACAAGGTCAAACGGGACACAGCGTAGACGGCGGACCAGATGACCGCCGCGGGACAGGGGGATGCCGTTACACCCCTGGGCTTACGTCCCGCCAGCCAACGAGTGCACATGTGGACGGTCACACACAGAACCTATAGAGTAGAGCATAGTGATGGATCCAGACCTGTGTGTGTGTGTGTGTGTGTGTGTGTGTGTGTGAGACCAGTGAGAGGTTTGAAGTGGTTTTGAAGCTAAATGGTTCTGCATTGTGTTGTTTTGTGATGTCTGTTGTGTTGCTCTGTCTATGCGGTGCAGGTTGCAAGCGTTTTAGTACACTTTGTATGTTGTCTATTGAATGTTTTGATTCAATAGAATGTTTTCTATTGAATCAATTCAATATTGAATGTTTTTTCTTTTGATTTTTTTAAGCACATTGGGTTGTATGTAGTTGTATGAATTGTGCTATAGTACTTAAAAAAACCTGAAATTCTAACGCACTATTCATTTTGGATATGGCCAATACACTTTCTTTCATTTGTAAGAGAGAAAATCAAATAATATTGACATTCATGCAGCCAAAACCTGCTATTACCACAAGTTATAAGCTTAGTTTTAACTCTAAACTCTATAAAACTGTTGCCATGGGTTACCGACCACTGCAAAAATGATCTTAAATGAGATCAAGAGATTGAAGCCATGTTTATACTTTAATCATAAGAAAAAATAAGTTTAATGTAAGAATAATGCAAGCTTTGAAATATCATGCGAGGTGATGTGGAAAAAGTACTTAAGTAAAAGTATAGATACAACTAAAAACACTCCAAATCTGGTAAAACTTTCCCATACTCCGGTAAAAGTATCAAGAGTACAAGCTTTTGAATGTATTTCAGTCAAAAAGTAAATGTCATTTTTGTTGAATAATTGACGGCCAATATATTTATTACATTACACATTTTAAACACTTACATTATACTCTTGAAGAAACCTTTCATACTGACAGAGAATATAACAATAATAATAAAACACGTAGAACTTAAGCCGAACGGTCAGGAGCACGGCTAACCGCAATGATTTAATTCACTTGGAAGCACAGCTAATCACTTTACAGTAAACCGGGTTTTTCGCGGTGTCGCAATCTGCAAAGTAACACGTCCTTTTATAATGTAAGTATCAAGTAAATAGATTGAGTAAAATCAGTTGAAATCTAAGGCATTATTTTGCGCTAAAATTCTTAGTATACACGTTTTAGTTCTTTTATCCTCTGTTGTAAAATGTATTTAATCTTTGGAAACATGTGACCTAATGTACATAATGACCAAAGTAAATAAACAACTGCAAAATATAAAACATATATTTGTGTTTAAAAGCAAGTATTAAAAAGTTATCCGAAAAATAAGTTGCGTACAGACACCAAATCATAAAAATATAATAATAATAATAGGTTTTTACTTGCCACCTTTGCTTAGAGCGAGAATAACATGAATTTGCTTTGGTTCGATTTCAAATACACTGAAAGGACGCACACAGATTACATAAACCATGTGATTTTATTGTCACTGTACATTCAGTGCACCGTAAGGACAGACTCACTCAAAAAAAAGCATATTTACAAATGAGTACAGTTTAGGCATCAACACAACAAACCAAACACAGATAATGCCCCTTCCACACACACACACACACACACACACACACACACACACACACACACACACACACACACACACACACACACACACACACACACACACACACACAGACACACACACACACAGACCACCGGGCGAGCATACAATGAACATGGACCAGTTTCTTTCTGACCGTTTTGAACCAGACACGACACAATATTGCTCTGGAGGTGTTAAAAAAACCAAACAAAACCCTGTCTATGGTACGCTCGGCTCCGAGGGTCAGCCGCGGAGAGAGGGTCCTGTCGCGCGCTTTATGGAAATCTCGTCAAGTCTCGCAAAATGGAACAGCGGCTTTCTCCTCCGAGGAATGTGATCCCCAATCCGCAGGAAAAAAAAAAAAGGTTCATCTACATTTTTTTTTAATACCCAGTCAGTGATGTCGCTTTATTTCTGTGCCAACTATTCCCTGGAGACCGCCGTGGCCCGCTTCCAAACGCGGAGTAATTTTGAACTACAAAAAAAAGCTGAAAAAATAAAATACAAATTGAGGTATAGGGGGTGGTTGGCTGCTGCGCCCTGCTGAGTGGGAATAAGCAGAATCGATGAGGACACACAAAAATGGATAAAAATATAAGGATATCGGGCAAGATTAGTTTTGATAATGAGTTTTTTCTTTTTGAGCACAGATGAATTCCTGCGGGAGGAAAAGTGCACGTGTTGATGCTGTGATAAAAAAAATGTTTGGCTTTTGTTGCATCCTGATAAGAGCGACATTCATCAGCCATATAATTACCACCATCTGCCTATTTCCTTTGACTAATATGTATCGTGTTTTTGGCCCCAATTGTCTGGTTGAGTCATGCACTGCAAAAAATGATAAAATTTAAGAAAACAATCATTTGAATTTAGCTGTTTTTTCTCTCTTAATTTTCTGTCTGAAAACAAGATTTGCCAATGGGACAACGTATTAGTAAGTAAGTAATCTTTATTCATATAGCGCCTAGTGGAGACATTTTTTCTTTAAACTTGTTCTAAGACAGTCAGAATGTGCTCAAATTAAAACACATTTAGCCAAATTTTAGCATTTAAAAAATTTTTTATTCCTGTATCACTTTTTGCATTGTTGTATTTCTTATAACAATGCTCCCTCTTCTGTCTTTGTTGAAATCATGAATACACCGCCTATTCTATATCCAGTGCTTTGGCTGCATGATGCATCAGTCACCAGCAGAAAACATAGGTGGCCATATTTGCCTTTTCTGCACAGCCGCTCCATTACGAAACTATTACTGAAGCCGTGAAATCGCCTTTGTGGAGTGTTATAGACAAAAAAAAAAAAACCTCCTCGCTGCCAGTTCGACAATTTCCGTCCCAGAGGTAACAACCAAAGCAGAATTTTAATTGCTCCATTTCTATTGAGAATTTCAGCTTAGGAGACTATTAGGATTAATTGGATAAATTAGAGACGTTTCATAATGAATTAACCACTTTCTAATTTGAGAGAAAAACGAGATTGACTTGTACTCGTGACGTTTGCGGATTCACATTTGGCCCCCGGGAGTACCATAGACCCAGTGCACAGGTGTGGCAGCCTCTATAGGGCCCTTTTTGATACATTGAACTAGTTATTGTTTGAAAGAGCAGATAATGGCACTTCTCGCGGCCTCCAAGTGGTCATAAGGGACAGCCTCTTTAAGCAGATTACCGTATCGCCTATACATACTGCCATCGCAATATTGAGGTCAAGTTACAACGTTTTAGTTCAGTCAAGCATCAGGATTTTGTTTTTTTCCGCTTTTGTTAAAAGGATTTGGCAACTTTTTTATAGCAGCACAAAACTTCAGTGCATGTTATCACACAAATACATTGCTATTGTTAGTATACGTTTTTTTTCTTCAAGTTAAAACAAATCAGAGATCATTCTAAACAAGAACTAAATGAGTTCAACTGTGTACAAATCCAAATAAATAATAATAAATACGCAAAAGTTATAAATAGCGATAAATAATATGAGGGAAAAAGAAACATTGTGGGTAAAAATACATGACTTATTTGACTTTTTTTGTTGAAATTAAAACAAGGCAAAAGTAGAATTGTATATAGAAGAGCTGCCCCTTTTCACAGTCGCTACGTTTATTGCAGGTTATTGCATTGGAGTTTGGGGCAAATGAATTAATTCAATAGGAATTTGCTGTGACTGCATCTGCCGAACAAGTCCAGACCTCAACAGCAAAGAAAATGTATTCAATCCCACAGTTTGTACTTCCCAGTGTTCATTATAGCCATGTTCTTCATAGATTCCAGTGCAAACTAAGACCACTAAGCGACCCCTTCCCGTCCATAAGCACCAGGTTCACAGCCGCTGAGTCAGTGGAACTACAGTGAGGTAAATATCGAGAGGAGAACTTCTGATGACGAACATAACTATCATTATGTCAGACTTCCCTCAGTGCAATTTCACACAATATACAGTACACCTATTATGACCAGTAGAGACTATTGCTTCAAGACTGCGGTTAAAACATGAAACAAGGGTTACCAAATGTTTACACTGAACACATATTGTTTTGGAGATGAAATAAGATAAGAAAATTCAAGCTGATATAGAGCGAAGGGCCAATAGTTATAGTAGGACCACAGTCGCTGGATTTCTGTACACAGCATTTTATATACAGTACACACACATTTCCCTTGATATTTCTTTAGTCCCTTTATGTTTTCAATAATTCGCCAAACTTTAAGCTGTCATTGTGAATTGGCACACCACCTCTGTTACTTTCTGCTGTCCCTTGCCTCTGATTGGCCGATGTAGCTGTCCGTCGAAGTCCTGTCGCTCTGTACATGTCAGGCCTTGGCCTCCAGCATCTCCAGGAAGAGTTTGTGCATGGGGACTTTGCCCTGCATTTTGATGTTGTAAAAGTGCTGCACAGCCTTGGTAGCGGTCTGCCGGAGTAGGGGCAGGGTCATTAGCAACTTGCCCGCCCGCCGCGGGTCCTCTGGGTGCTGGGATGCCTGCAAATCCTGGAGGGCTTCATGGAGGGAGTCCTGCAGCCTCTGGACGGCCTCAATGTTCTCTATGTGCATAGAGTCTGCAACAACAAGGAACACGCAGGTTAGAATCCTATCATAGCACTTTATAAACCATCTCTGCTAACCTGCAGTTTCCCATTGCTCTTGTTAGTGGTTAATGACGCTCTTGAAATAAATGCCTATGCGTGGCCAGGACCCCAGGGACAGTGAGGAAGAGACGCGCCCACATAAATATACGGACAGGCAAAAGATTCATTTCTTTTGGAATCATGGAGCACATACATCCTCTGCTAATGAATTCAGATGGCTGCATTACTGGATATGGTTCATCTGAATGATGGCGGCAGATGGCCTTCATTTCCATAAGAAAGAGCAGTTGGCCCCCTTATGTATAGGCTTTAAAATAAAACCAGTTGAGACTTATTAAAAACTGCTCCATGCTCAAGTCTACAAGTGAGAACGGGTGAGACGACAGCCGCGTCACGGACAACTAGTGGTTTAGTCCTCAATGGGAAACAGGCAGTGAGAGGTTATAACTGAGCAGGATATAATGACAGAAAATACAGCTCAAGTGTCCAGGAAAGACACAAAAAAACAGTAGGAAAATGCAAAACAAGCTCATACTTGACAATGTTAGAATTCAGGTTAAAAACAGTTTATGAATGTAGTGTGAATTATACTTGAGTTGCCCTGTATATGAAGGGAGCTATACAAAACGTAAATCTAGAGTTTAAATAAGTACTTATACACTACAAAAAGCAACATCAATTAATTCATTATTACACACTCGTCAACTAAACTAAAAGTAAAATAATACATAAATATAACATGTCAGAATTTGAGAGTATATTGTTGTGTTGTACATGAACTGACAGTGTGTGTGTGTCTTTTCTATGCTTGACTGAGTAAGAATCCCTAACATTCAGTAGAAACACTCTCCTCATCCTCTCTTTAAAGTGCTGTGAAAGTTATGGATTGAAGTGCTCTGTATGATGTATGCAAATGAAGCAGAAAAAAGCAAAGTACAAGGCTAATTATGTTCCTAACTGACTGATTAAGTCTCTTTTACCAGTCGCCTTCTGTGTAAATTGTGTTTCTATCTTGGGAAATTAACTAGGCTACGTGGCCCGCACATGTGTTCCTCTCTGATTTGAATCCTTCATGTTAAGACTGATCTGATCTGTGCTGGGCAGTGTGCGTGTGTGTGTGCGCCTCCCAGTGCCGGTGTGGCCCGAGCTTAAAACTAACTTTGAAGAAACAATTTCCATGTAATCCGTCAGCAGCCGGGCGTCAATCCCGTCGATACTCTGCTAATTACAAAATCAATGGCCATGAATTTCCACAGCTGTCCTGCCCACAGAACTTCAGTGTTCAAACGAGCCGAAATCTGCCCCCTAGAATCCCCCCGCTGACCCCCCTGTCTCTCTCTCTCACACACTTCTCCCTTACCGTCCCGTGGAGAGTTTGTCACTCCGGGGACCAAAAGCTTCGGGCTCAGCATTTTTCATTTTTTTCAGTCAGGCAGGAGAAAAGAGCGCTAACAGGCATTGATTAGTGGGGGACAAGCGCAGCCGCATGAAAAGTAAAGTGTCGATACGGTTGCTGCATCTTCACATTGGGACAAACGAGGCCGAGCGCTCCCCTACGCTCATTCCACTCCACTTAACACATTTTATTGACAGCCAGTGTTTTCCTAATGAAATGCTAAATATATCTCCGTCTGCCGCGGCGCGCTGGCAGCTACTGTTATGGAGATGGAGAGAATGAGAGCGCGCGGTGACAACGAGCGGCGTCGCACACACAAGAATTAAAAAATACATGCACGTGCGCACGTAGAGGCGACGTTAAATTAAAAGTGCCTCCTCGTGACCCCTTTGTCCCCTTTTTATCAGCAATTTATTTGGTGTGGATAAGATCGGCGAACTGATATGAACCCGCACTTGACCGTTTTAATTGTTTGTTGTGATAGCGATTTAACCAGGAGATCTGGAAGCATTCAAGAGACTTCAGATTCTAGTAACCAGCTGCAGACGCCATACAAACTCAGGTAATAGGAAAAATACAAGGTTTAATTAGTGATGATAAGTAAGGAAGTAGTATTGACACATAATGCGGATTGCCAAGAGTATCTTATGTTTGTTATAATAGATTTTCTGGTTAACTTGACAAAAACCTAAATATAACATGAAAAAGCTATATTTTAAACCACTTAATTGTTGTTAATTGTTAACTCAAAAACCATAATGCTAAATGTAACTTCTAAACTTCTTTTTTAACTTTATCCCTGTATAAGTATATAATTTGAAGCACAATTTATTTTAAATGATCCATGCCATTGGTGTGAACATATATGCTGTAATCCAGGTCATATTTACAAACATATTGCTTTGAAGTAATGCTAAAGATGGAGAGACATCTCAGTGACAAACAGTAGACACTTCTAGGTTTTGTGGGACTTATGTCTATTGAAATGAAGTACTGTGTATGTTCGAGTATTCTGGGACCGCAGAGACTGTAAATAAATGGACAATGCTAACCTGCTAGCGGCTAGCTCTGTACGGAAGTGCCCATAAAGTTTTGCCCCCTCTGGCTCCTTTTGACTTACATTGAAAAACTAACTCCTCTAGCTTATAACCGTTTGAGTCACACCAAAAATCTGTGGTTTAGCGCTATCTGATTTTTGTATTTTTGGTTTAAAATTGTCTTTGTATATCTAGATATGAGCCATATATGGATTGACCAATGCCTTCATTTGCAGGGGAAACTCCAGCTTACCCAAGCAACTAGGAGTGTTACGATATATCAATATAACAATATATCGTGATACTTTCTCCCGCGATCGATTATCAATATGCATTTGCCAAGTATCGATTAACTAAAAAAAAAAAAAAAGTATCAATATATGACTACATTACGCATCTCCATTCCATTTAACATGAAATAAAGTGAAATTTTTCACTGAACATTTTTCTTTTATTTATGCCATAAATTGGCATATGGTATATTTCTGACCAATATATCGATAATTGTCATATTGTGTTATATTCGTTATCGTGATATAATCGTTATCGTGAGCTTTGTATCGCTTATCGTATCGTATCGTGAGGTACACTGAGGTTCCCACCCCTACTAGCAACCATATTAGCAACACAATACATCTGCCCCTGCTATGGCGCATAGGTCACCCCGCCGTAACAAATGCCCATTTAAGGAAATTGGCTCCAGCTAGCTTAATTCCAAATTAGCCTCTTATGCATTACGCAAACACTGTGGTATACGTTCTATATGGGATCTTTGTGTATTTGCGCCTTTATGCCCTAGTGCTTTTATCAAAACAAGGTTAAGGTAATCTGACGCACCTGAGTTGGCGAGCGCGATGGCTTTGAGCGTAACAAACTCCTCCTTTTCCATGCGCAGCTTCTTGTAACGTCTGACCAGCGGCAAAATGGCCACGTGTAGATCCAGCAGCCCGGAGATCCTGGCCTGCTCCTCGTCCACCATGTAGTCCTCAGCGTAGACTATTTCCTCGTCGCACTGGAGCGAGCGATACACGATACTCAAGACCAAGATCTCCATCCAGGCACTCTGCAGGAGGCTCATCTGATCGGCCAAAGACAACGTGGAGAACCCTGCGCGAGACAAAGAAAAGAGGGGAAAATGTTCAGTGCGTTGGCTGTGTAAACACTTGACTGGGTATTAACGTAGCCCATTAGCTTCAGCGTGCTGTAATTGGCACTCCCAGGTCCTCCACATGTTTTATGAGCTCATGAACAATCCCCACAGTCCCACATGAAACACCGGCTGACAACTGCATATGCACCGGCTTAAGGGAAGAATATAAATCTGTCATGTGGATAGGCCTTTGAAACATGAGCCCGGCAACTCCGCTATGATAAACAATCTGCAGCGGAAAAGGTTAGGTCACGTGTAAAAACAAACCAAACACACACAGGTAGTGGAATACCGAATACTGATGCATTCATTTCAATACAGATTTATTAAGCATTTTTAATTACAACAACAACAATTTATTTGCCATTTGCAGTAAAACCACATTGGAGAAACTGTGCAAGACTACCCCAGTGTACATTTTAAAAATTCATGTGATATTATCTGGTCTGTCCAATGTATATGGATATTTTAAGATAATTCTAGTGTGAGGTGTAGTTTAGACTAGAGCTGGAGTGCCGAGTCCAACACTGGTCCTGAAAAATGGTCAGAGATCATATGGTCAAAGGTGATGTTTTGGAATGGTAAATATGCATAGTTGTGGTTCCATTAAACTAGTCGAGTGAGCTCTTAAAAGATCTATATCTAGATGTACAGAGAAACAGAACACGCCTCAAACGAGATTTTGTCCAGCTCCTTTTGAACACTGCCAAAAAAGACAAAAAAAACCCAAAATCTGTACATAAAGTTTTATTTTGAGTGGGCTTTTATTAACAATGACGTTGATTTAGTTGTTGGAATCAGTCAAATATTGTTTTTTAAATCAAATTGACCCAAACACATCTTATACGTATGTAACACAGTTGAAAAGAAATGAATACTTTTTTATAAATTATAAAAACCTGTTCATAGTATGAGTTGATTCAGGTAAAAAACGATTAATTGACTTCTAAATTAGTCGACTTTTTAAACAAATCGATTACAGACCTAATTTTGATCTTAAATAAGATTCCGTTCACTTAGACAGAGAATACAAAATAATTCAAACTTTACCATTCATATGAACGTATAGCACCACATCACAAAGGGGCGACCCGTTTAGTATTTAACCTTGTGAACTCCTGGACGCATCCCGGACGTCCCGGAGAGGTCGGTCGCCATCAAACGGACAGACACCTGAAAAGACTTCACCTGCACAAAGCCCGTCGCGCCTCTCTGGTGAATAATAGCTGCGTGATTGGGAGCTATTGACCAGTCCTGTGAACCCGGGGCTGTGCGTACTTAAATCTGCGCTTGTTTGGATGGGAATAGGGCAGCTTGACTTAAAAGAGGCCCTTTCCAACAGTTCTTATCAAGCAAATGGAGGGGCGAGGGGGGCGAGAGAATAAGGTGGAGAGAAAGGAGGGCTGGGGGTGTCATTGATTAGTAGATTGTAATCAGTCCACCAAATGCGAACGGGCCATCGATCCAAGCCTCAGATCTGACAAACAGACAGTTGATGGAGGACATCCGGTACATGCTTAGTCGGGGGATGGGAGGACTACGGGATAACAAAATGTAGATACTGTAAGCTGCAGCAAAATCTAATTCAATCATGTACTGTAATCCATAAGACTATCGGTAAATATGGATCCATGTAGTAATATCCAACATTCCAAATAGAGAAAATTGTGGTGGAGAGGCAGCTGAAAAATCTTTCCTGTGAACTCAAGATTTCTAGTTGTAGTTTTTGGATAATTTCCCAACTACCCAAATTCCTGGACCAATCCAGATAAAACAAAAGTTCCACATCTTCTTTGTCAGTATATATCAACTTTGGTCTATTTATTTTCTCATAAAGATGTCTAAACTTGAAGTGGTGACAGTATTAAATAAACAGATATACGATCTTACCAGTAAAAAAGACTTTCAGACATATGAATAATACAACGTGTTTGAGAATCTAATCACTGTCACATAAAGAAAACATTTGGACTTGGACAAAACAATGCTTCCTTCTCATAGAGTTGTAAAGACGCCTGTCCCCGACTGAAAAAGAATCCTACAACATGAATGTAACCAATAGTAAAGTAAAAACTAGTTACAGAAATGTACTATGACCTGTACTGAGCCATACAACAAAGCTACTGTACATTTCTACAGCGGAGCGCGCACAGGAGGAATTCAGATTTCAACATTTTTTTTTGAAGGAAAAGACAACGGTGCCAAAGGCAATACAAGGAATGGGACCAGACACGGCACTGTCGAAGATTTGCTGAACACGACTCACTGTAATATGTGTAAAAAAGGAATGACATATTCTATGTTTCCCATTTGGTAACAAAAGCGTAATCCCAGATAGATTTCCAACTTTTTAAGAGAACGATTCCTCAAGACGATCCCTGTACAAGAACTGAAGAAGCGCTGTTCTACAAGCAGCTACTGAATAGAAGATGTCAATGTTAATTATCAACTTGTGGTTCCATTAAACTGGTCGACTGAGTTTAAAATAATATTTATTTACAGACGTACTGAGAAACAGAACAAGCCTCAAATGAGATTTAATTTTCAACTCTTTGAAAAATAAGAAAATAAAAATCAATTGAAAACGTCTTCTTTTGAGTAGAGCTGTAATAAATAAAGTTGTTTTAATCGGTCAAAAAAGGGATTTTTAAATACATTTTACCAAAACAAAGTTGAAGCGATGCCACTCGAGAACACCTTCATAGAGACTAGCTGTAACAACTTTTTATTTATTTTATCCTCTTTGCCGGAATCATTAAACCTGCTCTTAGTATGTTTTGGTCCAGGTATGATTCAAAAGCCGATTAATTAACTATTTAAATATAATAATTAACTAGTTACAGACTTGTACAAGAACTGAAGAAATGCTGTTACTGGAAAAAAATGTCATCAACTTTGTTTTGTGGTCATTGTAAATCAGCATTGAAAAACCTTTATACGCGGCCATGTTATCAGCGAGGACCGTACACACCGCAGGAGGCGCATAGCGCCGCATACCGATCTGCGCTCGCCAGCCTAAAATTAGAGCTCAGTCAAAAAACATGGGAAACATGTGCAGTACATCTTGTATATTTGCTTTAAAAGTCATAAAGAAAAAGGCCTGTGTATTTGGAGAATAAAAAATCATCTGGCAGAGTGGAGAGTACAGTACACGCAGGTACAAATCAGATAAGTAATTGAATCCCTATCCAGAGGCATGAAGAGACTGAGTGGCTGCCAGTGAAGCTTGAAGCTGTCATTGAGAGCTGGGTCTAAAACAGACAGCAGTTCACTCTCTATTCATTTAGTATCATTACAGGCCTCCTAAGAGCCCTAATGGGCCTAATAAAAAGACAGAGGTAATAATGAGACTAGAGGGCCTGTAGGAGTGCAGCAGCAGAGGGGGAGTCTGGGGAGAAGATCAGGATTGAGACGAAAGACAGCCGAGAAGAGAAAGAGTAGTAAAATGAATTGGATCCTACAACTATATCGGTAAATACTTGTGTTATTTACTTTGCAGAATGAACGTTTACTGTTCTGTCCATGAGCTCACATGTGATATCTTCCACCAAAACACAAACTCACCTCTTCTCGTTCCTCCGCCGCTCTCACGTCTGAAGGACTTTTGCATTAATGGAGCGATAAGCAGTAAGGACTCTTATTACCTCATCGTTAAGGCCATTTGTGCAGCGGGCGGTGGGTGTAATGGTGGGAGGGGACGCTTAAACTGTAGGGACCCCTTTTGTCTTAATCGTTTCGGGGTGACACCGTGACCCGCTGGCCTCAGGTAAAATGTCCCCAGAGCATTTCCAGGATTCTTAACTCTTCAATACGTCGGACAGGGGTTTAGCTTTGCATCCAATACATCAATGTGGATCAATACGCAGACATGGGAGATGGATCAGAGGCGCATAATACAGACAATCCATAAAATCAACAGTTACTAACTAATATTACAGAGATGGAACAGATGTATGCAAAATAATTACTTCAAATGCACTTGGAGAAACCTAAAGAATGCCGGTCTAAAGCCCAGATAATGTAATATTCTTCAGTTTTGAAAAAACAAAAACTGATGAAGAAACATATATGAATGATATTATATAAAAATAATGTAGATAACTGGCTCAAAGCTTTAAGAAATGAGGTAAAAAATAGATCATTTGAAAAACCAGATATCTTCTTTTGAAAATTTGTCAATAAGTTGTACTCCTCCAGGGTTATGGGCTAGACACACGGGAGGCGACATCGCATCGCCTCCATTCATTTCAATGGGACGTGCGCGACATAGCGTCAATCGCTAGCGAGCCTCCTGCTCAGCGACGGGCGAAAAACGTGCGTGTGAAATCCTCCCGCTCGTGCATGTATCGTGCACGCGCAGGTCAGCGACGCGATCCCAGAAAGTTGAAATCGGCTCAACTTTTCGACGCTGTCGTCAAGCCGCATCGCGCCCCGTCTGTCATGTTATCTGAGCGACAGCGTTGAGTTTCGCTGATCGCTCTCATTTGTCGCCTCCCGTGTGTCTAGCCCATTAGGGTCCAACTTCAACGTATTTTGTTAGTGGCAGTAAATGTGAAAGAAGCTGCTCAACAAGGGCTTTTCAAAAAACTACTAGGTAAGGGATTTAAACGTAAACATTTCAAATCCTTTTTCTGATCGCACTTATCTGTTTTTGCCGGTAATCTATCCATATATTTTCAGTTGAACCTTGACCATAACCTAGTTGCATGAGTTTCACCGATATATAACATGGACGGTCACTTCAGCAGCTAAAAGTCAGTGCAAAGTTTGGTCCATGTGTTGATACTGCTGCTCTGAGCGGAGTGTGTGAGACGTGAGGCTGTGAAAAGTGCAGCTAACACACATTCATGTTGTGGGATGAAAACAGGTCAGAGCAGAAAGTGTGCATTTGGGTCGTGGATGCTCTTTTTGTCCATGTTTCAGCTGTTTCTCAGAGCGATGAGACAGCACCTTCACACGCTGCAACATTAGGTCAATAACAGGAAAGCATTCTCCCGTGTCACAGAAGTCCTGTGGAGGAGAGCCCTCACCTGCACTTTGACTTTGGTTTTGTCATTATCTTGATGGAATTGACATTACAATTTATTATCTTCCAGTTTTTATCAACTTAAAGGCCTAGGTAACATTTCTTGTGCTTTGTGGATGAAGAAGAACTGCAGCTCAATGTGTCACATCACATAAAATCACAAAATATATATTTTTTAGGTACACATTAAAACGTCTTTAGTTCCCAAAAAGGTACTCTGAACTTGAACTATTTAAAGGCCACATTTCTTTGAGTCTTTTGCTCGCACAGGAGGAATTTCACATTTCAACATTAAGTTTGGAAGGAAAAGACAACGGTGCCAAAGGCAATACACAAGGAATGGGAACAGACACGGCACTGTCAAAGATTTGCGGAACACAGCTGACTGTAATATGCTTAAAAAAAGATGAAGATAAAGGCTTTTTAGAAAAAGAAAAAAAGTCTCAATTTCAGCAATGGAGCACACCTAATGTCATCAGGCAGTGTTCTTTTTACATGGAGCATAATGGAAGAAAGCTGCTTCTCCAACAATCAAGGTGCGTAAAATGTATGTACAGTACATGCTGGACTATAAACCACAACTTTAAAAGTCTAAGTGCAGAGAAATACACAACTTGACTCCATCAAGTTTCAGTAGGAATTTTATTGTCAAAATAGACAAATGGATTTACCAGAGTGCTTTGATCGTTACGTTCTCACAACAGTTTCCTATCAGCTTTGTTTTTAAGTGTTCCAACATGAAAATCTTTGGCTTATATTCAAGTGGGGCCTATATGTGCTTTCTTTTCAAATGTAGCTGGTCTGGTTTATCCAGCAGTAGTACTGTCATTGGCAGAATAAACTTTGCTTGAGCCTGAAACAGTCAAACCAGACTGTGTGTATTTTGAACTGGTGTCAAGACGCATTTTCCAGACTGATTACATCATTGATTTATTAATGAATATTTAACATATTAATCAATGTCACAATTAAAAATCCATTGAATTAAAAAGTCCAAAACTAATGTAATTAAATTAATCGCCAACGTTTTGTCCAAACTTAATTGGATCAATAGACTGCATACATTTGAGCTGAATCAGTCTTCACGCTCTTTATTTACTTGGATCTAAAATGTCTTGTTTCAGCAAATCGTGGCCGAACGGAGCTTTGAATGCATTTACATAACACGTCTCAGTCAAGAATTTGTTAACAGGAGCTAAGAAAAGCTGTCAGTGTTTCTCTAAATAAATCAATTTTGCCCACAGGCTCTTTGTAGTGTCCTTAAGTAAGTAAGAGGATCGCTTTCTTTAAGTCTGGGATTGAATTGGAATACATTGACATAGGGGCGGAGCCGGGACCTCAGACCGGGCCGCCGCTGCAGCCAGTCAAATCAAAGTCTTCAGATGCTCTTATTGATTAGATTTCAGAATATGGGACGAGCTTCTCCCCCAGGTGCATGAGAGCAGCAGATGTTAATTATCCTGTGTGTGTGAGCATAAATACGTGTGGGGGCTGTTTATGCACAAAACCACCACACTGTAATCCCAGACTGTATCAATCAGGGGCTCAGAGCAGTAAACAAAATATATTACTGATAAACTGGGATCATTCTCCTTGATTGGACTAAATTAAGACATTGAATCATTTTGGGGGAGATTCCCATTTCACATAAAAGTAAGGGCAACAATCTATCTGTCCATCTATCCCATTTTATATACTATTGTATCATTATGGTATAGGATTAGGCTTTTATAAAATAACTTGTATCGTCCTAATGATTAAAATCTCTCCAACTCTTGTATATTTTCAGAGCACTACATTACAGTACCTTAAAATGTTTCTGAATAAAAGGAGTACCAGTACATTCTTGGACTCAACCAAAACTGGCCCAAAAGTAAGAAAGGCTCGTTATTGCAGACTGATTTTATAATTGAATAATATGGTTCAATAATATGGTTACTGAGGATTATTTTTATAATGATGTATAACATGCCATAGCACTCCGACATAACACCCTTGTTTACCCCTGGTTGGGAAACAGACCCTAATATTGCTACTGTATCACCACATTTACTTCCAAGTACATTTTACATCCATAATAAAAACTCGGAAAATGGGAATAATTTTTGAAGTTACTAATAATTCATCAGCCTTTTTTGTTTAAAAGTTGATCATTTTTCATATGAATATCTGTACTTTTAAAGCACTTGGTGACCTTGGTCTGTGAAATACCCTTTAAAAGTAAAGATGATTTACTTACTAATTTGCCATTGAGCAAAGCGTCTTTGAGTGTCCAAAAAAGCAGTTTATAAGTACAATGTATTATTATTATGATTATTAGTTTGTACAAAACCAATTAAAATTTGGGTTAGGGAAGGGCTATCTCATATAGTCGAAATACAGAAATACCGGTGTAAACATTTTTACCATATACCAGTTAATTGTAAATCCACTGGTACAGGCATTCAGTCAGTGTGCCCCAGGGCAGCTGTGGCTACAATAATAGTTTATCACCACCTTGTATAGAGTGAAAGAATAATGACATGTGAAGGGCCTTTGAGTGTCTAAAAAAGCGCTGTATAAAACCAATGCATTATTATTATTTATTAATAGGGCCATGTTCTGAGGTATAGAACACAATGGTAGTATGACTGTCTACCTGGGATATGTTTAGCCCAGCCGATGATGACCACCAGCTCACGGTCAGCCAGGTCGCACAGGGTGGTCAGAGCCTTGATGTCTCCGTCAGGCATGGTGGGGTCAGGCATGGCGTAGATTTTCTCCGGCTCCACCACCAAGAGATGAGACACGATCTTTGTCACTGGGAGAGAGGAGATATATCACAGTGATACTTGATCAAAAAGATTAAATCAAGAAATGCAAAGTACAGTAGATGAATAAATCTGATGAAGGTGAGGCAAGGTGAAAACAGCCCAGTGTGAGAAACATTATAAAGCAAAGTGGTGAAATCAAATCTGACTTTGACTTACATGGTTTTTTAGCAGGAGGGGGGATATTGAGGCCAAGGTAGGTGCCGTTCTCCGCGTCCAACCTCCTTTTGTATTTCTGTCGCCCTCCTCGCACTCGGTCCAGGCGAACGCCTACAGAAATAAATCACACACATTTTAAAGTTCAGCATTTTTTTCTTCCGTTTTTTTAGTACAAAAAAAAAGGTGCTGAATGATTGAATTCTAATACTGTTTGGAGTGCCTTTGGACTGAAGTTGGACAAAGGACTCTGGAGATAGTTGTCACCTTTTAGAAGGCCGGGTGACGTCTCTGTCGGAGTACACACGCCTAAGTATCTCGTTAGAATACAAACGGGACATATGTGGGATTATCTGAGCGCGCTCCTGGAGGACACGGGCCACATCACAAACACCCTGAGCGCTGCCTTCACACGGCCGTATTAAAAGTTGTTTGAGCTCCGAGGGAGAGCAAACAGGCTCTACATGGTCAAGTGGAATTGAGTCGTGTGAGATTTCCCAGTGACTCATATAAATTCCTTTGATTCCCCTGGAAACAAAAGAATCCGATTAGGATGGTCTTTCAATTTCCTGACACTGACTATCCACTAACCTAATTACCCAGCGTGCCCAGAGGGAGCTCATTCTTCCCAGCAAACACACTGAGATCATTTTATGCCTGGCAGATTGAAGCTAAATCGAGAGCCCCTCTCCTAACACTGCTTTCCATTTGTACGCCTTAAAGTAATCAATAAGCCTTGCAAATAGACTTCTTGTTCTCTGAACACATGTGGTTGCTGTTTTAATTAGTCAGTTAGGCAGCACAAACCACTTTGTGAAAGATGGAGTCTCACTTGGTTTTACCATTTCTCTTGGTTAAGGTGAATTTTAAATTATAAATTGTGAGGAAAGAAAGTGTGCATGTACTCTCAATATTAAATCACTTCAGTGTTTTCTTTCTATTTAATGGCACACAAAGGTCTAATACAGCGGTGTAGAGTGAGTAAATGCAAAAATATACTAAGCAGGTGCTACCTTGCATTCATACTTGTCAGACTAAGTGACAGTGAATTGTGGGAGCGCTGTGCTCACACACTCGGATCATGTGGCGCAACGAGCGACAAGTGACCCAACCACCAGAGCTCGGAATCCAGGGTCTAAGGGCCCGTTTGAACTGCAACATCCCACTGGCCCATAATTAATAGACGCTGACAAGAATTAAGAGCTTTATACCAGCCAGGCTCAACTTACATTTCCTCTGAGCACAGAACACACACAGGCTGAGAAACAGGGACGAGAAGAAGATTCTGTTTTTGGACAAAAGGATCATTTTCTGCAACATCTCTGTTTTTCTTCCTGTCACTTTCTGTTCTTTCAGTCTCTTTTTCCTTATCTCAGAGTGAAGCATTGGATGTACCGCTTCTTCCTGAGAGGCTGTGTCCTGGGCCAGCCACTGATCCCCATGTGGGATTATCCCCTCCCCATGTGATATGGCGCAGTACTCTGAATCTGACCACAACAAGACAGCTGGACTAGGCCTCTTGCAGAGGGATGCCGTGGGACAGACGGGGGAGAGGGGCTTGTGTCATTGTCAGCAACACATTCCACACCTCAGGACCAAACCGCAGCGGCATGTTGAACCATGACAGAGAGCAGCGGTGACATGGGAGCCTGCGGCCGCTCAGATCTCAAAAACATTTATGTTTTACGGGTGTTGGCTGCTACAGCGTGATGCAGGGTGCAAGAATGTGCAGCAGTGGTGATCGTTACGAGTTTCAGATCTCTCACTACAGTTCAGGGTGAAGCCGAGACCTGTGCTAGACACTGCCTGCCGTCTGTGTCCACATGCTGTATGTCTACCGCAGTCACATTTCACATTCAATATGCGAGCGGTCATAAAGCCCTGAACATCACTGTGATCCAACACAGCAAGTCATTCAGAATTATACCAGATAAAATATCAAATTTTCACAAACTTGTATTGTACATCCACATTTGTATTTTTAGTCTGAATAGTTCATGCACATAAGTTGAGAAATCAGAAGTAAAAATCCGCTGAATGTTGTATAACCCATGTTGGAACCCTTGCTTTGTGTCTTTGTAAATAAAATACAGTGTAAGGTTTATTTCATTGCCGTCTTTTGCCTCAGACTGTGGGTGGGCTGTGTAGATATTACACATTGATGTTCTGCTCTCAATTGTCTCAAAGAAAGACTACTGTAAATCATGTCATGAGTAAATGGCATGTCCACATGGGGCATTACACAAGACCACAATACGAGGTCATTCGTACAGCTGGGACTCTGCTCTTTCACAGAACTCAAAACCCATCCATTTATCTTGCATCATCAGAAATATGTTGGCATTCAATATCATAGCATTGCTTTGCTAAATCCCCATCTTGAGTGGAACATATGTTAGCGTCTGTGTCACCTGCCAGACAGTGAGGAAAGGCCCAGTGGAGGATCTGGGTGGGCAGGGGTCAGCTGCAGCCCTTTGCTGGTTTCCTTTACAATCTAAAATGCAAACAAGGGTCTAACATGTGCCGCTACATGCACTACTTTATGCTACAGGCAAGAATCACGTTGCAAAGGGTAAAAGAGCAAGAGTTTAGGTAAACAGAAGTCAAAACTGTAACTGTACGTTTTAATTTCTACTGTGGTGATGTCATGTAGTGTATGGATTGGTTTCTGATCTGAACCTATTGATTTGAGAAGGGATCTGACAGTCTGTGATATTGGATATGGCTTTACTAATCTTTTGTGTATGTGGCTGGAGGAAAATAAGGCTGTAACATTACCCCAGTAGCCACGTTCGCTCAGGAAAGACTGCTGATCCCTATCTGTGGTCGGGCCAGGGCGAGACACTGGTGTAGGTTGCCAAAATAGTCTGGCAGCTTGTATTCATCCCACCACATTACAACAGTGTCAGAAAAAAGCCCACAAATTAAAAAAAAAGCAACATACAAACCCTGGATCATGCAATAAAGGAAAGATTCCATAAAGTATTGTGGTCATACCAACAGAAAGAGTTTTGTCAAAGTTAAATATTCTGGATGAATGAGTGCATGCTGTGCTGTCATTATCTTATGAGAAAATATGATGTGGTGTGAATACAAGAAAAGATCTCTGAATCACTATTTGCTGAACACTGATTGGCTGATTGAGGGGAGTCCTAAAATACATAGATGTCAAATAGATCCAGCAAGCAACCACCTTCCCTTTAATTGAAAATATTCAACTCAATATTGTTATTGGTTCAATAAAAAAAATGAAATTCTGTACAAAAAACTTAGTTACAAAATATGTACTGTAGTTTTATTTACTATGTAGATATGGTGGATAGACAGCTATGGTGGTTGATTTTCCACATAGAACCAAGACCTTTTCTTGAAAATTTTGCTCATTGTACAAGGTTTACAAATAGTGCTAAAAAGTGAAAAATCATAGCATTGGGAAGGGCTGTTCAAATAGCTGCCAATTTTTTTTGACTAGAATAAGCTCTTTCTTCATCCAACTCCTTCTCGGACATTATTTAACTTGGAAAAATAAGTGTTATTTGCCCCTATGTATAGATAAAAGTATTGAGAGTTCATCTAAATAACAAGCTATCCATGCACATGGCATAGAAAAAAAAAGCTTCAAACTAAACTATTGATAATCGAGGTGAAAATAACATGCACAAGAGGTTGGCATTGTAGAATTGTACTGTATAAAGTTTCTGCTGTAAAACTTAACACAGCATCAGAGAAATGCTCAGAACATAGACGGCTCAGCACCTCGATGAATGAATAATTGAGGCCTGACAGTGGCCTCATTTCTTCAACATAGTTCAGTATATTTAGAATGTGTATGTTTTTTTAAAAGAACTAGAACTTAAGAGCAATTAAATGCGATAGAAAAGTAAAACTGCTAATCGCTTCTTAAATTCTTGCGTCATTTAGCAGTGTGTGGAGTGATGCTAGGGGCTATTAGCGATGCTATTAGCCGCAGGCACAGGCTCCTGGCAGTGGCGGCTGACACCATACCTTCCGCGGGCTGTAATTACGAGGGAGTTTTTCCGCCGGACCCATGACCTTTTATCAGTCTCAGCTGGACTTTTAAGGGGTCACCAAGCAGAGCCCCTCCTCAACAGCACCCGTCTGTCAGGTCATAACCACCACCGAGCAGCACAGTCAAAGCAGGGCTGTCACACACAATATGCTCGTCCCGTTGATTAAACACAGCACAGTAACAAAGCGAAGACGAGTTTTTGGTGTTTTTACAGACAGAGAACAGCCTGATGCAGTGGTGCAGTCCGGTTGATGGCAGCAGGTGGTAAGGCCGCGCTCGAGCGGTGGCAGGTGGCACTTTATAATTTTATGATTCAATGTAGCATGCTCCGCGCCTAACCGGTCTCAGAGGTAATATTACATACTTTCACTTAAGACTTCTCACAGCCACGGCAGCACTCGGCCTGAGATGGTGTGAGATACTGGCCAGTAATTTAGGTAATAAAATGCCTACAGACATTTTTTTTTTTTTTTTTTTTGAGAATTAGTCAGTTGTTCATATTTCTTCTGCTGTCGTAAAGAACAGGCAACGAAAGCAAAATATATAATTTACTCAAAATACAACTTTAATGAATCCAAAATATCAAGACATTATTTACAGCGCTGCTTTTTATAATGTGACTCTTAAGTCCGTTCAAGTTCTTTTCTGCACATGTGTATGGGAGCAACACATTAGACAACATTTCCCTCTGGATCAATAAAGTATGTATCTTCCTGTCTGTCTCTGTATCCATCTATACTGATATAAACCCCACGATCTGACGACCATCAACCATTATCCCTCTGATTTATACTATGGTGCATGTTTTGGGTGTTGGACATGGGGAGAACATGCATATGTCTGGCCGCTGTGCCACCATAAGCTGACACAGTACGTTTAAACAATTCGTCATTACAAGAACAGAAAATCATATAAAAGTAAAAAAGTAAATTGAAATTTTAAATAATTATCGACTGGTGAAAACTAAATAAAACAATCAGACAAAGGGAAGAGGCTGAGGAACTATATTGTGGTAATAAAAGCTTTCCCAACAGCCAGGACCACATCCTTTCACAATAATTACAATGTATTTCCAGTGTTAAAGAACCAAACGAAAAAGTGACACCAGAAAAGCAAAACTATTGACTATTAAGCGCATCTCTGCACATTAACCCATAGACCCAAATTATAATCCTTATCATCAAACATTATATTCATCAAAACATTGAATTGAAACTAACTTTCAAGCTTTTCAGAATTTGTCTTACACATATGGGACGGCCCTCGTGCCATTAAAACACAGCCATAAAAACTTTAGAAAATTACATTGCAAACTCACAATTCAACAAAATCAAACCAAATGAAAACACAGTAAAATTCATTGTTCACCAATTCCCTCAGCTTTCAGGTTCCAAACATCTAACCGGTTATAAAACATATTTTTTATACAGCCCTGGAGTCATGCAGTGGATTTTCCAGTGTGGCTTTAAAAGAATTTCATCTTAACTTTGTCTGTGATATAGTAACATATACACAATTGTTTTTTCTTCTGCATTATTTTGGCTAAAACACATACTTGCTTTGAAAAATAAGAGAAAAACCTGTTCTACTGAAATGAAAAGACAGTAAAATAACATAGTTGTGTGTTAATAGCTGCTGTAAGCTTCGACCCTCCTCCTTTTCCCTGTCCTCAGCCATCTCATCTCTCATCCGGGAGACTAATCGCTGGATCTAGTCATTTCCATGTTGTCATACGGTACGTAACAGACGTCTTATTTTAGGAGCGCTCCATTTAAGACTGAGCCCTGTCCATAACACCTGCATTCATTTTTCAGCAGCGATGATTTCTTTTCCATGCGATCTCATTACACAAACTAGGGCAAGCCTGTGTCCCCCACTGCTTCGCCGATCAAAGAGTCAGCCCGGCTGCGGCGCAGGACTATACAACAATTAAATGTCCCTTTTGCTTTTAATTGAATGCCATCGCTTGTGGAAATGGGCCTACTGTGCGGAGAGCAGCAGGTGGCGGGGGTGGCCATGTTGAAATCGGCCTCTGTCTCGCGATGATGTGTTTGTGGCTAAAGCCGGGCACGCCACGCACATAATGTCACGCTGTTTTCCCTTAATAGTTGCAACTTATTTTGTGGCTGGCAACAAGACAACCCCTCAGTGTGGAGTATGTGGAGCAGGATGAAGACATCTAGTCAAGACGCTTGTAAAGAAAATAGTGCTAGAATGAACCTTCGTCTTCAATCACAAACATATGCACGCAGGGAATGTTGTGTATTATTTTAGCAATCGTGTTCCTATATTGTGTTACTGGCACACATTGCATTTAATTGCCGTTAGAGATGAGTAAGGTTTAGAGCTGGCAGAGGATGACAAAACGACATGACCGCAAGTTTATATAAAGTATATTACGAGTGTTTGTGTTTCTATGGAGGCCTATAAACAAGATCTCAGGACAAATGGGTCTCCTCTCAGTTACAACACATGGGTGATATTCCATTCCAATCATAAGACATGGAAAAATCCACTTTCAATGTCCATTTTAATGTACTGTAATACGTGATTACAATTTGCCTATTGTGATAAAGCAAATGTTTTTGATGAGATAAATGGTTGATGTTGTCTGAACTGGGAGCATAACAAAATATGATGTTATGGTATACAATAATAATAATAACAATAATTAATCGGTTTTATATAGTGCTTTTTTGAACACTCAAAGACGTTTCACATGATTATTTCACGTCATACACAACGGTGATAAACTACTATTTTAGCCACAACTGCCCTGGGGCACGCTGACAGAAGCGAGGCGACCAGTATGCGCCATCAGCCCCTCTGACCACCACACACACACCAGACTCCTTCTAGGCAATGTGGGTGAAGTGTCTTGCCTGAGGACACAACAACAGCCGCCCCACTGTGGCACCTGGTGTTCCCAAAGGTCTCCCATGACAGTTCTAACCAGGCTCAGTCCTGCTTAGCTTCAGAGGTTTGACGGGGTCTGGCTTTCACATCCAGGTATGGCCACCAACCTGGCTTACAAGTGAAACTCTGAAAGTTTGAATATTGTTCAAAATGTAATTTACTTCTGTTATTCAATATGCAACGTGAAACCAATGATATAGACTTATTACATTATCCCAAGCCTTTGTGGTTTAAATTGAGAAGAATTACATCTTAACTTTGTCTATGATATAGTAACATATACACAATTGAATTTTTTTGTAAAGTAAAGTACAGTAGTAGTAAGTAAGCAATCTTTATTTATATACCGCCTTTCACAGACCAGAGTCACAAAGCAGTTTACAATTGTTATTTTTGGGCACTTGTCCTCTCACTCCACACAGAGATGGGAGCGGGGTCGCCAGTACAGGAGGCGCATGCCAGACCTATTGAACATATTTTTAGTGGTAGGGGAAACCGGAGTACCCGGAGGAAACCTACGAAGACATGGCGAGAACATGCAAATTCCACTCAGAAAGGCCCTGGTCCAGCCCATAGAAAAATCTATGGGTTAGATTTTCGAGAGAGTACTCCCCGAGGTCTCAGAGGAGGAGCAGAAACAAAGTCATGCAGGAAGTGAGGTGGTGTGTTCGGAAAGCATTTAACGGATCAATACGGTCGACTAGAGCGAGACGGATCGAGTGAGTGTGCGAGCGCAGAGACACCGCGCTCGCTGGGGACGCAGGAGTCACGGGGAGAAAAAAAACACCCAGTGCATTTTTAGAGTACAGTTACAGATCTGCGATGGGCCATTGGGGGAAAACAGCAACTCAGCAACTTTCTGCTTCACCAGCGGAGGTAAATGTTGCACGCTGACCAGTGTGGGAGAGGAGATGTGATGTCACAGGGGTCTCCCTGGGGCTAAGCTGCTGCCTTCACTGATACTAATATATATATATACAATATATATACATTTTGTTTTTCCCACCAGAAAGAGTAAATTTAAATAACATTTTTGTGAACAATTCAGACCACAACACGCTGTCTTGATCTTATTATAAAACATGTAATCAGTTCCATACTGAGAGCTGATTGGCTGAGTTAAGGCAGGGACTAACGATGCAACAGGGGCCAAAAGACATGTGTATGAAACCTAGTGTTGGAACCAAACTATTTTGAGAGAAAGAACTATTATAAGGAATGTCATATATCAGGTTATGTCAAAATGCTGATTTCCAGCTAGTCCCATGGCTATGGTAACAATTGTGTTTATTTTTTACATTTATTAGTTTGCTAAGCCAGGGCCATTACGCCGCCATGGTGACACCGGTTTGTTGAAAATCAGTGTTGGGGAGTCACAGAATGCACCGGGAGAACAGAATAGAAGTTAGTTACTTTTCAAAAATTTAAGGCATATATTAAATAATGCCATTGCAACAGTATAGTAAAAAATACAATGTCACTTTTAATGATGCATTCAAGTGTTTTTTTTCTTATTTTAATTAACCAGATAAAGCTAAGAAAAGGCGCAAAGTTGTTAGTTGTTGTTAATCCATCGGCACGTTGATATATAGTGTTTTGATTGGACCATGTAACAGAATACGACATACATTACACATTAAAGCAGGTATTCAATAATCTGTCACTAAATACATATATCCCCAACACTGTTGATATTATACAGTTTTGAAATGAATTGAAAAACACAGTGGATCAGGATCAAACTTTGATGCAAACAAATATAACAATATATGAACACTAATAAAGTGTTTGGAATATTCTTTGAACAGTTCTTTTTTTACAGAGTAGAACAAAGAGCCTGAGACGATGCAGGTTGTAATTTCTCGGTAAATAAATAAAAGGCCAACCGGACCCAAGCCTCACCTTCTTTGAGCATACCGACTTTGAGACACTTCATGAAGCGGCAGGCCTGGCACGATTTGCGTCTCCTCTTGGTGATCTCACATTCATTGGTGGCTGGACAGCTGTACTCGATATTCCCTGTAGAAACAGAGTAAAAACAATGTCATTTGTTTAACAGTCTAAGGAAAGACATTTGCTTTAATGGAAAGAGGCGGTAAATGAAATGCCACACACAGGCACCTGTCCCAAGGTGACCCCATGTGACTCTGCTGAAGGAGAGGGGGTTTAGTGGCATTTTGATGGGACATGTAAAAAGCAACTCCCCGCTCGCTGTCCCACCCCCTCTTTGATTCACAGACAAATTAGCTTCATTAATGCAGCGCGTCCTCTCCCAGCGCGCCCGCGACCCCTCTCAGGCTCATCCTTCTTCACCTAAAGCATGATGGGAAAGCTGCCCTCCCTCAACAACAGAGCGACTATAAGATGGACATATAGCCCCCACTCTGCATAATGTCCTGCTGCTGTTAGCCCATCTGAGGCTGCCCTATCATGTACCACAGACAATGTATTATTCAAGTGCGTCTCGTTGCTCGTTGGCTCGATTTGGAAATATTTGGTCCTATGGAATTTAATCACTCAGCTCCCCATATTGAGTCTGCTGCCACAAAAACCCAGCCTCAAGTTCCGGTTGGCATTTTTGTTCCAGATCATTACGCACTCTCTTCAAAAGTTAATATGACCCTGAGAATCCAATGACAAATCCCTGCTCCCAAGCATCCAAATCCCTTGATTGAATGTTTAAACAATGTGCTGTTCCAGAGAAGTATTAATGGGACCTAAAAACAGAAAACCAGGTGTTGTGTGTTGCGGACCTGCCAGCACCGCCTGCACACACATACAACCTAGTGTTGGTCAAGGAGAAGGTGCCAACATTTGTCAGGATCCCTGGCATCAGTGGTGCCAGCGGGGTCAGATGCACAGCGAGGGGTGCGGCACCACGCCAGCAGGCAGAGCTGTGCAGCTTTCAGGGAGAGAGAGGCTTTGAACTCACAGAGCTGCAGCAATGTGCATTCAAGCACATTTTTATACAAATACTACTAAATGTTGAATACAGACATCAAGCTTTACTCCTCATATTTACATAACAATAGTTTAGGACTCATTTCAAGGAAATCAATTACTACCATTAGTACTATCAGTATAATTTACTTTGGAAATATATTTGACTTCAAACTTCACTCTATATGTTATAGTTTTAAGTAATCAGAAAATAATGTATTATAATATCTAAATATTTATTGTATTTGTATATGGACACAATAGAACTGACAACGCAACTGACATTGTACCTAAGCCTTAAATGTTGTTATTTTTCAGTGGTCCATTATGTCAAAGAATAAACTTCATATTTTACTCACATATTCCTGGCTCGTGTGTGGGTCATATGTGAGTCTGTGGTGAGGAGCAGCATCCTGGTTCACAATAGTCTTAAATTGCCTACCTCTAAAAGCTCACTTTCGGCATAGCCTCTTAGTTAATCAGGTCTCGTGTCCACCTTTATTCCTCAAAGGACATTTCAACCACTCTAATATCCGTTCTTAACCTCTCTTATTTTCCCTCTAAATTTTGATATATTATTATGCCATGCTATTATCCACACGCACCCCTCCACTCAAGCCGGACCTCTCCTTGTCCTCCTCCTTTAGCGGGGCCGGGACCCCCTCTCTGATTACCATTCCATTAAAGCGCCTTCTCCTTTCAGTGAATGACCACGTCCTGTCCCTCGTCCGCTGCCTTTTATTTAGAGGAGTCCTCTGCGTCCCCCTGCGCTGTTACTGCTCCAAACACACGTGCCTGAGCTTCTAATTGGCCCCTGTCCTGCCTCTGGGGGTGTGTGTGTGTGCTGGGTGTTGTCAGGGCCCTGGGGCACAGCACACATCCACGCCTCCCACTTTTCTTGACTTTCTCCCAATGAAATGCTGGCTCTTAATTACAGTTACCCAACACTGATTGTTATTGACTGAAACTCCCGTGGCTCAGGACGAATGACGGACAGATTAGGTTCATTATGGGCCTGTCCTCTGTGAAAGAACGAGAGCATGAGTGTGGGACAATGCAAAGTCACACATCAGTGTTTACTGTACCAAAGTGGACAGTTACTGTATGCTGCATACAAATACCAGCACAACTTTATATGTGGGGCTTTCCCTCAAATAATGATATCCTGCTCTGGACCTATCAACAAACACACGTGATGGACCATAAAATCAGGATAAAAGTATTTTCTCTTTTCTTTTAGGGTGGAGGTCTGTTTTCACCTCAGCAGTGGTGGGGGGACTTGTGCAGCTCAACATTGTTACTGACAGTCACATTACTATGCTGATGCGCACAGAGCAGCTCAGGTGAGTGAGGGAAATACCTTGTATTGTTCTTTTGAAGAAAGCTTTGCAGGCCTCACAGGAGGCCACGCCGTAATGGTAGCCCGAGGCGATGTCCCCACACACCAAACACAGCCTCTTGGGAATGGCATTGAGCATGTACTCGCACTTTATGGGCGAGTCGTCCACCACACCCACCGCACACTCCTCGTACCGCCGCAGACAGGCCCCCCCAGCGCCCAGCATGACCGGGTTGAACATGGGCGGAGAGTCCAGGGCGTGGGAGCGGCCGCTGCCGTTGATGTAGCCGCCACTTGCGTCCGAGTTTCCGCTCGGACTGTGATGGCTGCCGGTGTCCACCAAAGACGAGGATGGGCTAGAAGGCTCAGTCTTTACATATGACCCACAGCTGGAGGTGAGGTGCCGCTCTTCTGTGGGCATTCTGTTTAACAACCTGGGGACATAAAGGCAGATTAGGCAAGTGTCAAAAACACTACAAAAACAACAAAAAAACACTTGTATATGAGCAAAGCAATTAGCTAGTATTGTTTCTATACTAATTGTCTTAAATTACAAGATGCTCATCAGAAAGAATAAAATAATAGAGAGCGGCTGCTCTTGTCCCGGAGCTACTGCTGGTTCGCTGCGCGTGGCTGTGATGAAGTGCAGTCGTCGCGCACATAACTGGTTTATCTGAGTTTGATAGATTATGTTACACACTCACAACCATTAATGTGCTGGAATGCCAAGTGATATACTGCAGAGGCTTATTTCTCCCAGGCAAAATGGTAACTAACGAGCTTGTCAACAGATGCCCTATACATCTTGCAAACAATGGCCACAATTGGTCGTGTGCCAGAAGTAAATGAATGAATGAAACTGCAGAAGGCGGTTAATGGACAGAGAGGTGTTACACTCAGCAGCGTATGGAAGATGAGGGAAACACATGACCCGATCAATAGTTCCCTGCGCTCTGCCTGTGCATGGTGCCGGGTTACAATGGATTTAAAGCAGAGGTTGTGGAGGAAGAGGTGCTGACCTAGGATTAAGTGCTCTAATCCCACATTTCATTATAAACTTTACAAACATGTAATGGAAAATGTGAGTTACGGATCAAAAGCAGCTGCTCCAAAACTCAGTAGGATCCGTTTGATGTTATTAAAACAAAACATAACAAATTTATGATGCTTAATTTCTCTCGTCATTACAAGAGGTCACCAAGGTGCTGGACAAGCATGCAAGAAATGCAATATGAAATGTAGAACAAAAGCTATTTGCTTTGACATGGTAGTAAATGATAATGGTTCGGTCATTACATCTTTGTAACATTGCACTTGTGAGGTTGGTACTTTGAAATAAATCTATTGTAAAATAGTGTTTATCACAAGCCCAAGTAATTTCTGATCATCAACATTGTTTTAATTATTTCTCTTCATATTTTACAATTATTTACAATAAAAAGTACACTGTTTTCCACTTATCTACTGTGTTAAAGTTTGAATGTGTACCTTAGATAGTTCAAAATGTGTGGATATAGATTTACAATACACATCATAGTAGTGCAGTATATGATTTCAAGATATTGTCTCTGCTTAAAATAACCATCCACTCAACATTCTTGGATACACATTGTAAACAAAGTCAGATTCCAACTATTTCTGTTACTTTTGCGTGGAAATGTGTTTGAAAAAGGAAGTCAGAGCAGGTTGTGGCGTGATGGGAGCCTGTGAACTGCAAACGGACAGTGATGCAGCTTAGAGGAGGAGATAGCCTCTACCCCTGGGTCCAGATCACATCTATTGATCCCCTGCTTCCTTCCTGTTCCAGATGAGCCATGAAAAAATAAACCAGACGCCCCTTATGCATTTTTAATCAGCCAGAGCGGTTAACATAGTTGAGATGGAGCGATACAATGTGATGTTCATTTGGGGAGTATTGTGGTTTATGACAGCAGCGTGGGGCCTGTATTAAATCTTGTTATGTTGTACCTATAGACTACTATTGTAACATATATTTCCTTTCATCTGAGGGAATTGGAGAGAGCGGCGTGCAAGCAGTTAATACATCATTGGAGCCAGAGAGAGGGGATTCCCTGTGGACCGGTACATCGTCGCATATGTAAAAAGTAGTTCATTCCGCACTTAGCACACACTAACGCTAGGGACATGTTTTTTTGTTACATCTAATGGAAATTTCTAATGGCCGCTTTCGGATCTGTCCAAATAAAATAATAGTACAAAACACCAATTTGTACAGACAGAAATAGCTGCGTAGTTTCATAATGTTTAATATAAGGATATGTTGGGATTGGTCGTCCTGCCTCACATCTCACGCAAACAAAGTCCTGAAGAGAATGCAGTGCACCCAGTAGCTAATGGGCCAGTGTTTGCTCCGCTGTGCAGAAAAATTGTACAAAGTCAACTCATCAGGCAGACGTGAAGGTCACCTGCTTCCCTGTTCGGGACGGTCCTCTGTGTATGGAGCAACAGATTCCAGACCAGTACATTACAAGCCACGGTTTGCGCACACACACACACGCATATTCACACACACATGCACACAAACACACGTTCACACACACACACACACGTTCACACACACACACACACACACATGCACATGCACGCGCACAAGCACACACACACACACACACACATACTGCAATGCAAAATGTGTAAAATAAAAAATCTTAAATCTTCATTCCGTCAGTTTTATATATATTCTGACTGTCTCATGATTTTCCAAATTGGACAAGCAAAAATGTCTTGTTTTTTATAAAGACTAGAAAAGTCTTCTTTGGAATGTGAATACATTGCAACTGCACTAAAATTTGCCTTTTGCCAAATCCAGTAAGAGTAAAGAAAGAGTAAAAAAGTACTCAATTCAAGATAAGAAAACACTTGATTTATTTGATATTTTATCTTTCCTTTTTTTACAGAAGACGTTTTCACAAACAAAGCACACTTACATTTATCTTTTTTCATACCAAAGTGCGATGGCAGCAAGTGTGTCCTGCCAACGGCTTAAAAATCCCAAATGTTTGTGTGCGCATGTGTATTTTGGCACCTGTCCTGTAGTTGGCACAGAGCAGATCCCCTGCGTTCCCAACATAAATCCAGAATTCACCTCCTCCTAAACCATGAAATATGCCTCCCTGTCGGCACATTCTCATCGCCATAAATTAGCAGAAAAAGCCAGACCGCACGCATATTTGTTTTTCTGAGCGATCGCTATGACCTCGTGGTATCCTTGGTTTTGGACATAAAGGGTTAATGTTCCCCTTTATTCTTTACTGTGCATTTTCTCACTGAGGGGAAATATTATTGTTAAGCATGAGGTTAAGATCGTAGCAATGAGCGCGGCGTAAATCATGTTGCTGAGCTCACAGTTGAACATGGAAGCAGCCGCAGAAGGACAGAGCCAAGGAGCCATGCATGAAATTAGTTCATTAATCTTTCTATGATAGGCTGTCCTTGTTTGGGGCAAACTCTATCAGCTTTAAACTGAGTGGCCCTTACCGCCTGACACATAGATTATACTGTTAGTGTGCAGCCGGGGTGTCTGGGAAATAAATGCTCACGCCAGCCGCAAAATGGGCCGAGCGAGTGTCGCCCCAGTGTTAAGTAGCACCCAAGACGTGAGCAAATGAAGGTCATCAAAAAGTGCAATGGAAAAATCTAGAAGTATGATTTATGTTCTGAGCGAAAATAAATATTCCCGGTTTGAGAAGAGACAGCAGTAAACGTATGCATTACTCACATCAAAATCACATGCATGCTTAAGATATGGAGATATACTCTGAACTTAACCCAGCGAATACACAAGGAACTTTCACATTTCATCTTAAATATTGTGTATTTGAATAAGAAGCTTCTTCATGTGTTATTGATGATGATTTAAATTGTATTAAACTGGTCGTGGAAAACAATGTGACAGAGTTTGAAAAAAATAAATATCATGTCACTTCAAAAAGTTACAAACAATTAATAAAAAAATTGTTGGAATTAGGCTGAAGTTATCTTGAATTGAGTACATTTTGACTGTTTTAAAATAAGATTAGCAAATGGGACTAGCAAAACTGTTTTGTTTTAAAAGAGACTACGTATTTACTATTATAACTGTATAATTCTCTCTTGGAATAATGAATAAATTAATAGCACTGCCCTTAAAATAAGATCAAACTGCTTGTTCTATTAGCAGATCCAAAAAAAAAAAACTCAATTCACGGAAAAAAAAAAGTACTCCATTACTCATAAAAATGAGTAATTACCTCATATCTCATATCTATTTTGTACAGTGTCGTTTTTTACCATTTGTGTTTCAAAATGAACTATAGTATAAATGAACTGTGAATAGGTCGTTTCTTTAAGCAAAAATCATATCCCTGTAGTTGTGAGGATTCAATTAGAAAATGAGTGCTTTATCGCCTATCAACTCTATTGTGTTTAATAGTAATAGTAAAATAAAGCACTTAAATGTGTTTCTCCTGATACCAGGACAAGCACATTCCTCCTGCAGTAACAGCAGCAGACACAGACAGAGTTGAGTGACTCGGTCCCCTTCTCAGCGCACAACTTTTAGCATATGGCTTCTTCAATGTCACAGCTCACAGAGGAAAAAAACGGCGTAGATTTCCCACATGGAGGATGTCTGCGTACCTGGAGCATCAACCCCCATCTACATACACGTCCAGCACCGTCCAGGAAATTGCTCTGCGCCGCAAAGTCAAACACACCCCTAACTGCCTTTAAAGAGAGCCACAGGAGCCAGGCGAAGGGACAGCGAATAAATGAGGACAGACTTAAGCCGTCATTGGGAATCACAGGCGGACTCACAAGGGACAGTTTCGATATTGATTTCATAAATAAACAGAGATGGCCATCGATCCTAATGTTATTTTGCATTTCAATTACTGGTCAGAAACATAACCTTCAAACGTCTGCTTCACCACAGTAATAACGTCCACTGATAATCACAAGCCACTCTTGTCCTGTGCAAATTGGCTTTTCTCCCTCTGCTCTACCAAATGTGTAAATGACACAACTTTGCATTTGCCTAATGGTATTAGGGCATGGGCTGAATTTCAAGTGCGACTCAAGATGATACAGTAAGCACTCCGGTCAATTGACACAATGCAAATGAAGGTGGTGAAGAGGAATTAAGTTCACAATGTGAGACCTCGCGCTGCGATGATGAGGCCCATTAAATTAAGCCTGCCACTGACCCACGCTCTGGTTAGACACTCAGCATCTCTTCATTTTATTTGATCAATAAAACAAACTCATTGGGAGGACGTCCTGTGAATATATTCAGACTGAGTGGCTTGTCCATATGCAGACGAGCCCCTCACGTTAAGACTCGTTCACAGAGGACTTGAGAGGGACTTATTATGTCTTGACTAAAAACTGGTGATGATTCTGAGTAAACTTTGTTCCAACTATGAGTGAGACTCCACATGGGGCCTTTGTAGTGATGGAGCCCTCTGGAGTTCAGAGAAAATTCAACTATGACAATGTTAAGACAATAAATTACTGACTTGTCAAATTGAAACACAACATAAAAAAGGATTTACAAATAATAAAAGAAAAACACACAAAAAACCCATAACAAGCATGCATCAATAGTGCTTAGAGAGAACCATCTCGTGGTGAATGCCAAACTCACTCAGGCTGAGTTTGAAACAATGCCTCAGCCCAGTGTTTGGTGACAGACACAGTCAGGTGCTGCACTAAATTTGGATTTCAGGTCGTAGTATGTTCTGTGTCATTGTGTGTTCCTCTGGGACAAGAGGCGGATTGTGTAAGATTGTCCCAAGACTTCATTCAAAATACAGAGTTCATTTTTACTTTCACTACAACGGCAAAAACAAGATTTTTGTTTCCTTTTTGTTGAAGTTAAGGACAAAAATATGTGTAAATGAATGTAAAAGCCCTGCATAGAGAGACGGCGGTGTCCAGGACAGGGCTGTGTCCCTGGGGTCCGAGCTCATCGCTGCTGCAGCCACAACTACAGGTGTCAGCAAATCTGCCTCAGGTGGAAATACCAAGACATGAATTTAAAACGCTGTCTCATGTGATCTTTTAACACAAGAGAGTAAAAAAGGGTTGTTATAACAAAAACATATTTGTGGTGCTTATTGATGACCACAAATGTGTGTTCTTGCAGTGCAATAAAACACACTTCATGCAAGTGCTAGTATTTTCGGCAGTGACTGCATTAAAACATAAATTGCCTAATTGAACAGACTTAATAAAGAGTGTATTAAGGATTTTACATAAAACAAACTGCTGTGTAGAGATACTAAAGGGACTTTTCCTAAATAAATAAAATAAAATAATCTAAATATCGACTTCATTTAATTAATTATATTAGTCACAAACGGTCCAGATTATAAAGCATATTTTTGGATACATTTTATTTGCGTTTGAAATAAAAATAATTTTAAAAATACAACATCAAACACAACACACTTTGATAGGATAAAAAGACGACTGCTCTAAAAAATGACAATACATTAGAAAGTCAAACTGTGTTATTGTGCTTTTAATAATTACTTATAGAATATCAGTTGGCGATACTTCTATGTGAGTGAGTTGATAATTGATACAATACATTGGACTTGAAGTAGTACCAATCTTTTTAAACTGCCTGTAATGAAATCTTTGTTAGACTCACTTTTTAAAATGTGAGAGTTAGCAATGATGCTAAGCAGGTTAAACCTCTCCAATCCTATCGAGGGATTTACATTAAGAGGATCCCAGTAAAACCAGTCCCGTCGCATTGGGTTAAAGTTAAAAAAAGCATCTTTTGCAGGCATGCGATGAGATAGACACTAAAGACATCTGCTTTTTAAAGGTGAACTGCTTTACCTCAGGTGAACAGTGTTCAAGAGATATGAGTGAAATCATGTTTAGGTTGATGATAAATATGGATATCTGTTTTTAGATTTATAACTCAACTGCTTTTAACATGTTAGTATCATTCTCAAGTATTTACATTATAGACATTAAATAGTATCAGAGTTGTACATGGACATTTGACAATATATCTCTATCCATGGATCAACCAGACTGCAAGGACAGACAGCTATGGAAGAGCGCCTTACTGAACTAACAGCACTGTCCTGGGACAGGGGGCTCCACTCTCACTACACGCTCTGCAGCTGTCCCGTTTGTGGCTCGGGACAATACGCGGAAGATCAGCTCAAACACACACTTTGTTTAGGGAAAACAAAATAAGAATGAATACACTTACTGGTTGTGGTAGCAGAGGGGGTCAGGGATGCACAACTCAGACACATCCATCAGTCCACCTTTATCATTCCAGGCGAGGAGAAAACGTCTGGAGAACAGGGCGTTTAACACTTCAGTTCCTATGAATCCACATATCTTGAAAAAATAGTTGCTTTGGAGTTCTTGAGTGTTGTCTCCTCTTCTCTCTCTCTCTCGCTTTTCTTCCTCAAAATAAAAGATTGCCTGTGTCTGGACAACTCCGGTCTGCACAAAGCGCTCAGACAAAGCTCACAAAAACCTCAAATTGAGTTAGTTTAGGAGTAAAAGTGCAGCGTAAATAAGACACTAAGATGACAAAATTTTGTATTTAAGTGTGCAACAGAGACTGGGGCCGGCAGGAAAACAGTAGCAGAGGTGGAGCGATGGCCACTCAGGCTGACAAGTGACGGGACTGGGGCTCCATTGAAACCACAGGAGCTCTTTAAAAAGCAGGGGGCGAGGCTCAGCGCATATGGAGTTGACACGATTGGCCAGTCTTATGGAGGATGTCCCGAAAGCAGCCAGTCAGAGAGAGGGATTAGTGAGAGGAGGCAGGGCTTTCATTCAGACCGCTGCAAAACAGACACAGACGCACATGTAGACCACTAGATGGACATGAAGCTAATTAGACAGACTAGAAGGGGGAAAACGCACACTCGAAAAGATTTGAAGATATAAAATGTAGTGAAGTGCTTTTGACTGAGCTCGTTGAACATAAATCATTGTCAAGCAGTTTTGAGATATGTTTACAGTGTTTTAAAGCACTCAGTGACAGCTTACCTAAATCTTTCACTAAGATCCTCTTGCCTTCGCCGTAACCTTTCAACTCATGGCTCCTGCTGCTGCAAAGACAAAACGAAACCGATGTAAGATGTTATTTGATATGAGGATTGAGAGTGTGGGTGTGTGTGTGAATCTATGATGGGGTGGTCAGGATAGATAGAGGAAAGGCCCCCCTCTCCCCTAAAAACACATACACCCACCCACCCCATTCAGCCTACTTCATCAACCCACATTTTGCCAATCAATAGAAAAGCCATCACAGGGTGGTATTGATCAGAACGGTGCTGCTGTGTCGCCACAAGCCCTGGGACAGACTCCGCTCTCCCAACCATCTTTGCAAATCAAAGGAATTAGACATTTTCAAGCTTTTTCCCCCCTTTTCATGTCACAGCCTATCAGAGTCAGGCGCGCACAGGCCGATTGCTTTAATAATAGACCGATGCAGTCTCAATTAAGTTTCTGATCAATATTCTGGCATTTAGCGTACTTTCCCGACGAGGAAAACCGGGATATTCCGCTGATGTGATTAAGACGTCCAGACACAATCAATATGGGAGATATGTTTATGTTTTTAATGAAGCCGAGAAAAGGAGGCTAATGCTCGGATGACATATATAATTTTAAATTGGGGGGCTAATATGGAAGCGGGAGGACAGTGGATGCAAAAATTATTATAATAACATATTTCGTCATTACTTTTGCCTGGCAACCCATTTTGTATGTGGATAATGCTTTGGTCTGAGATGTCAAAGGGGTAAGAGAAGCAACGGTTTTAACAAATTGGATTTATTGTAGCTATGCAAATGTTTTAGGGTTGACACTGTAGTAGAGGCATCTATTCGTCTATAGTCAGCAGAAACTTGTTTAATAGATCTTAGGCAAATTATTTCATATGTGCATTAAGATTTTTAACTAGAGATTGAAATTGTGAGTGAAGATGATGTAAAAATGTGTGCATGTTTATGTTGTCCTCCTACTCTGTATTATCACATTTATTTTGCTGATTTAATAAACCTTTGCTGTTTATGTCGGTATGTGGCTTTAATATCTGTTTCTCTTCTTATTTGTGGATGGCTGCAAAGTCAACCTGCCATGGGACGGAAACTTGCCTTCATCGCTAAATCTGGCATATTAAAATGGAAAAATACATACAAAATAAATAAATAAAAATAAAAACAAAGTGTTATTGTCAAATTTTGGGAAATGGCAGTTCATCTTTGGCATTATGACCAAATAGTTTAGCTGTCATTGACATACATTTTTTCTAGTTTTAGTTATAACTAGTTGCAGCTTTTATAAAAATTACGTCACTTTTTGTCAGTTTTCTGCCTTGTTTGTAACTGCAACAATTTGTATTTAGAATGTGTAACCTCTTATTATTCATTTTTACAAAAAAGCTTTCTGATTTTAAAGGAATTAATTCAGAATGCCATAAATCTAATAAAAAGCACTAAACGGATGATGCTCCGGCAGAGACAGCTCGACCATATTGTGAGTCCGGATCTGTTCCTTCAGCGGCAGAGGGGAAATCTCTGAGCGCGCCGCGTTTAATCCCACAACACGCCACCAAACCGCAGCAGTAATCCAATCATTAAGTCTGTTTAGAAACACACAACCTCCACCTCCAGTTTCAACATAAGCAGATCACGGACCGTCTGGGACATCTGACTGATATTCAACTTTTCTTCTCCTTTGTCGTCAACAACAACCAAAGCAAATGCAATGGTTCCTAAAGTGGGGGTCAGGACATGGTATTTTATCACAGAGATAATATCACAATAGGAAGGATCACAGAGGAACCACAGATTTAAGCCAAAAATAGTTAAAATTTACTTCTGCTCAATTAATTGTTCACTCAGCTACTAGCCTAGCGTTACACATTATATATGCTATTTTCTATATAATTTAATCTTTTGGTGCTATTTGATCTGATATCACTTACGAATAGCATTGTAATAAATGTGACAAGCATTTTGATGTTGTCTCCCAGCTGGCTTGGGAATGCCTCAGGATTCCCCAGGATGAGCTGCAGGATGTGTGTGTGGTTACGTTATGGCTGGGCGTCTGCTTAAACTGCTGCCCCCGCATCTCTGCATTGGATAAAGCGGATGAAAATGGACGGTTGGATGTTTTGCTGCTTCGAATAATTACTATATTCACTTCAAGGGGGCGTATTTTATGGGGTCCCGGCCTGATATGTAGTATCTGTAGAAGAGCTAAAATAATAATACATTCATAAAATCATGATGGAAAAGCTGAGTTGTTTTCGAGTAAAATTAAGATTTGGGCAAAACTAATATAAGCTGCAACAATAAAAATGTTTTCACTCTTCACACTAACACAAAGTATGAGAGCTGGACATACACAATACCACAAAATTAATTATTTAAGATTATTCACATTTATCCCACTGTTAGAGTTACAACTACAAATAATAAAAGATAATTTAACAGGTACTCCGCTCTATCTGTGAACTATCTTTATCTGTGTTTGTCTCTGTGTATCTTCCCATGTGGTCCCTGTGAGTAAAAGACACATTTCTTTTCGGGACCAAATCAATCAATCAAATATTGAAAGAAAAACACACATGAAAAACTTGACATGACCCAAACTATGGAAAACAACTATACCTTAAATTTGGAAGCATGTGTTGATGTATTTATAGTTAAACATATTCAATGCAACACTTGTATCACTGTCAGAATATTTCAATCGTGAAGTGGGTCAGGGAAACAGTGAACTGCCTTTTCAATTAGCAGCTTGTGTCTGAAAAATGACACTACATAAAAATTCATCAAACATTCCAGTCTCAGTATTCTACATGGCAACCATGTACATTATATACTGTATATTTGACAATTGTTTAAATTCAGACTTAAAGAGACAGTAAGTAAAGTTCACTCTTGTTGGTCTATTAAAGTCATTACAAAGACAAATCACACTGACTACTGATACAAACCACCTGCTGGAGTCTAACTAGAATAGCATGCATGCAAAACTGTAAATACATGCATACTTATCTACAAACATATGAAAGATTGAGCAGTAATTTAAAATGAAAATATGACATACTGTACCTTTAAATGCAACCCTAAGATTACAAATGGATATTTCGTCACAGCTGAAGCAGAAGACTTCAACATTATCGTGGCTGCACTACACAAAGCTGCCACAAGAGAAAGTGCATTATTCATGAATGTGATCGTTCGCTCACGGCGGCCGTAAACATTTATCTGTGCCGTATATTTTACTGCTGTCAAACAATAGAACTGTCACTGGTTTGTCTGAAATGACTTGGTCTAAGTATTCTACTCAATGAGTACTAATCAACGCTTATTGGCTTTGGACCAATAAGACAAAACTGGGATACTAGTTTTTTTCTCAGTAACAAATACCTCAAAATGTTACCCCTTAATTTTTATCCACCCTGATGCACTATTACTATTACTGTTCAAACCACATTGATCTGTGGATTGTCCAAAGGAAGGAAGTATTTCATGACACTAACATTTTTATCAGTGTTTCTAAAGTATGTTTTATTTTATTGCGACATGTTTATAATACATGTGGCATAATAAACAAAATAATCAATCTGATGAATGTTTGTTAACACACACACACACACACCCACACACACACACACACACACACACACACACACACATATAGGCAGTGGTAAGTCCAGCTTTCTCTCGTCATTGTAATATTAATAAAAAAATATATGAAGTGTGTATGTATTGTATTGTGGTGTAGTGACAGCACTGTGGGATCATAAAGCAGAAAATGTGTACAAGATAATAGTTTAATTTATCTATAAAAACATGATTGAGAATTTAAGGAATTTGGTAGAGATGACCACCTCTCTATATCAGCCTTATAGAAATACGCCTTCATAATTCAATGATAAAAAAAAGCAGATTTATTCCACTCGATCTTGTAACAATTGATCTGGCCACTGACGTTATTAAATATTGAGAGCAAAATAGGAATGATTGAACACTCCCACTTGAGTGAGTGAGTAGGATATACAGTACAGTGCCTTGCAAAAGTATTCGGCCCCCTTGAACCTTTCAACATTTCGCCACATTTCAGGCTTCAAACATAAAGATATAAAATTTTAATTTTTTGTCATGAATCAACAACAAGTGGGACACAATCGTGAAGTGGAATGAAATTTGTTGGACAATTTAAACTTTTTTAACAAATAAAAAACTGAAAAGTGGGGCGTGCAATATTATTCGGCCCCTTTA